TCCATTTCCACGTCATTACCCAGGAGTGACCTATTTTAAACTCGACGTCGACAGCGGTTTTGCGACAAGCAAGTGTGCAGTCTTTTGATTCCTTCCTACGAGTGGCACTCATTTGTCAGCCTAGAAAAAAAAGGAAATTGATTCGATAGGGGCCCCAACCAGGACCGCCGTTTGGTACTGAGTTTGACTCTCTGCGGTCCTAGCAATCCCGGTCTCTAACGAATATATTTAATAGTATTTCGCAAAGTGATACAGGGTGGAAATATAATAAAAAGAGTGGAAGATTCCACCCATTTCAAATCTACTGAAGGATAAACTGACTGAGGCATCTGCGGATCTCAATAAAAAGGGGGACCAGATACACTGAATGAATGTAAAGAATATGAAGGCACTGAACGACAGATCTGAAAGCAGAGCAAGCAAGTTGAATATACCAGACACTGGCATACCAAAGACCATATCTAACAAGTGAAATGAGCGGGAAGAAATTATATGCAATACAAGTATTTGGCCATAGCTTCTTTCATATTTAGTACAACTTATCCCAACTTAATCCTCTATAAGCATAGCAGAAAACGCACTCAGTCGCTGAAAAATGAGTGCCGTTATAATTCTGTTCATGTAGTAATAATCAAATGGTAAACAAACCAATCTTGAAACAAATGCCCATGAAAAATCCAAAGCACGTCGTGAAATTTTCCATTTTGGGCCTGTTGATGAAATTACAGATGTGCTGCCGATTCATGGTTGGCTCCAAACCACATAAGGTTTGAGAGTTTTGCAGAATCGCGTTTCGCTACACATTCCGTAGCATCTCCAGCGTACAGCTGAAATCAATATATGTATACAGCTGTGTATTATAAATCTACTTCCGCTTTGTACAACTTACTGGCTGTTAGACATCAGACATTTACCATCACATTCATAACTCTGAACTTTTAAGTTTAACCTCTGCCACTTATTTAATGATTAATAATTACAATTAACGGTTAATGGTTATATTAATTAGGTTAATGGTTATATTAATTAATGGTTAATGTTTATATTTAATGGTAACAATTTTTTTCTTAACTCCGCCGTGGCCGGTCCCAAACCCGGATGAGAAAGGAGGAGGGTTGGAGACCGTGGCAAGTCTCCGTAAAATTTTGCCATCTGCGACTCATGGTATTGA